CTAAAATCATTAACTTGAGATATCTGTTCTTTGTGATTAGCAGTAATCATTTACCAAGATGTATTCTTGACTGCATTTATTTCCTAGCCAAAAAAATACATACGTACATACATATACATATGTATGTATATATACACACGTGTGTGTATATATATATATATATAGAGAGAGAGAGAGAGAGGCTTCTCTTCTACCTTCAGAGCAGCTTTCTCACAGCTAAGTGAGTGGCTGCCTCCCAGGTTATAGTCACCAGTAAGGTCCCTGAATAAAACTTAAATCCACAACACTTATGTTGTGTGTCTTTAAGTCAACAAAATTATAGAGTGATATTTATAGAACTAAACAACTGAAGACCATGGGGCTCTTCCTGGGAAAGTCATTTCTTCTCATTTCAGTTTAGAAAAAGAATGACTGAAGGAAAAGCAAACATTTTAAACTTCTCCGGCTACAAATTATAATGAGGACATAGGTTGCTGCCAGTATTATGAAAGTTTTTAAGTTCATCAACATTCCCAACATTAGTTCATTCGTTGGATATTTCTAAGTACAAAGAACATTCTAAGTACAAAGAACATTCTGTCTACTATAGAAAATTTTCTTTAGTATTACATTTTGTGACTCCAAAGACAATACTATATGCATTGTGCCAACTAAAAATTGGCACTTGCCATCTGCCTCTACAAGGATTAAATCACAAGCTTCCTTGTGACTGCAGGGTGGAGATCAGGAACGAGGCACTCGGTGCTCTGGGAAAAACTGGCAGAACAGGACTTTGGACAGTTAGATATTTTCGGTAGATGATTTTATGAGCCCAATTCTTCATCCTCCCTTATCTAGAAAGGTACTAAAATGATAAACGTCGACATCTGCTCCTCGTGACTAGCAATAACCTTCTGCAAAAATGTGTGCTTGACTGCATGTATCCCCCTCTTCACCAAAATTACGTATGCACTGATCTCCCCTCCTCTTTGAAGCAGCTCCTCAGAGATATCTGAAATGCTGTCTCCTGGGCTATGGTCCTCACTTTGCCCCCAATAAAATTTAACTCACAACTCTTACATTGTGCATTTTTTTCAGTCAACGATTGGAATATCCTGAGTCACTCTCAGATGACAGTGACAAAGAAGGTGTCTCCTAAATGTTTTGATGAAACTTGATGTGAACTAAAAGTGACTTTTAGCCATGATAATATCTTCCTTGTTAGAGATCTTTCCCTTGAATGAGAGATCTCAAACTATCATCCTTTGCTACTAACATACCATTAGCCTTAATAAATGATACACTAGAAGTATGCTTCTTTCATTAATGTTGTGGTGTGTCATACAACCTGAATGCAACAGATCTAAAAGAGTCAAAAAGGAAGTAACATTTATCCATGATCAGGTATAACTACCGTGTAATTTATCAGAGAGTAATTGATAAAGCTGCCATCCAACCACCCGAAGCGGGACTTCTCTGTGCAAGAAGATCCCAGGCAAGGAGGCAATTTCCATATAGTAATCACACAACAAGGGTAACTACTGTATGGCAATGATGTATCTTTTTACAAGTGATTTTCACAGCACGATTTCCGCATTTTGCTCCTTACACTTTTAACTAGACAATGCTGAGTCTCTGCAAAGAGCTAGGCAATTGCAAAGAAATCCATTCTCTGAGCAACCAGAAATCACCTCCATTATGTATTGAATCACTCAACAGAGGATAATGTACTCAGAAGATAACTGCTGACTCTGACAAGTCACTTTTGCTTATTTCTTGGGTTACAGTTGCCACTAGAGGCTGGCAATCAATTCTCTGAAGCAGCAAAAAGTGTTCTTTTGCATTCTCCTTATTTTTGGGGGCGGCGATGTATAGCTGGAACAATCTAGTTTCTCCAGACATGTGTCACAAAAACGTGGCCTGTGGACTAAGCCGGCCATGCCTATTCGTGCACGCAGAAAAAGCTGTGGCGAAAGCTTCATGAGACTCCCCCCTCTCCTAATGCAGACCCTCTGGGGAGATGATGATTTCCTTCTATTTTGCTCTGGTTCCACAGCACTCCCTACCTGGACTGCATTATCCAGGTAAAGAAGATGAAGGTTAACAATTGTTTAGATAGGAAAACCTAATTTGGTATCTCACTCTTAGGAAACATATAAAAGTCTTACCTTGTTCTCTCAGGAAACGGTTGCCGGAAACCACCTGCCTTGGCGAGGCACAATGGTAACAAATTGCACGAGTTGTCTTGCAACAAGAGGTCCCCATAAGGAACAAGGTGCTGCCACCAAAAACTAACCGGGAGAGCTCAGGAGGGGCCAAAAGGAGGAGACAGGAGACACCTGCCACCTCCCAGAAGCCCTCTCGCTGGAGTCCGTCTTGGCTGAGAGATGCACACAACACCAAGAAGGACGCTGAGACAGAACAAATACGGGCGAAGCAAGATGACTGGCGAGAGACAAGCAGGAAACTAATCCCATTACCGTAAAACCTGAGACTGCAAGCCACGTGACAGAGCAGTTCTCCTGGCTTGCCTTACCCTGCTGCTCTCCACCGGGGAGCCCCTTCCCAATAAAGTCTTTTGTTTTGTCAGCACCTGTGTCTCTTTCGACAATTCATTCTGAGTGTTAGACAAGAGCACACTCTTGGGCCCTGGAAGGGGTCCCCCGCCTTCCTGCAACAGTTCCACAAGTTCAGAATGGTCTAGATCCTGCACACATCCCTCACTGCTCTCTCTTTCGCTCCTAACTTCCCAAACACTCCAAACTGTCTCTTGCCACAAGCCTCTGCCTCCGTCTGGATCACTCTTCACTTCCATCACCTTTTGCAGAGACAACTCTTACCTTTCATTTCCCAACCCGCCTTTACTTACTTAGAAGGCCTTTCACTATCACAGGCTTCAGTTACACTGGGGTTTCCCCCACCAGAAGTAAGACTTTTCCCATCAGAACATGTATACAAATTTGTAAGTACACATTCACTGGCATGATATCTGATGATATTTATCTCTCACTAGACTATAAACTCACGAGAGCAAGAATCATTCAGTCTTTCTCATTGAATGTGCTTTCCCCTTCACTCCCGCGAAGACAACTGAACCACGTCACTGAAATCCATGTCTTCTCCCCCAGTGATTCTGCTTCAGATCAAATTCCTGCCTGCCTATAAGCTATCTCCACCTGAAAGACCCAAACCTCAACCTTTAGATTCCTCAAACTCAGCAAATCCAGAGGTGCATTTATTTTCCTCTCATGGCAGTTTATATCTCAGCACCGTCACCCCCCACCAAGCCTGCCACGATCAGAGTTAAAAGCTTGAGTCCCCTCAGTGTCCTAAACAAATCTTATTATTTTCGTTTCTGTCAGTTGATCTATGGTTGCCTCTCTAGAGAGGCAACTCTTACTCTTACTACCTTATTGCTGTCCATTATGGCAACAATTTTCTCTAACTCCATGTTCTCTAAGTTTCCCACTTTTTCCCTTCAAATTCTTGACCAGTTTGTTTTTCTGAAACCCAGTAGTGATCCTGTCATTCCCCTACTGAAATCTTCTAGGTAGATGAGCTTAAGCATTTTGTGTTAAAGTGGGACCAGGTGCTACGACCTGGATGGAAGGCAAAGGGAAGTGGACTTTTTTTTTAAATGTCATATTTCCAAGCAAGCTCACTATTTGTAGGTTTCTGTGTTACCATGGCTGTTCGCAGAGGCACACAGATGCAAACTATAGATGGGGACTAATTGTCGTCCTGAAGCCACCCATCATTGCTGATGTAGTTTCACTGCTTCCCAATCAGGTTAGTACAATGTGCAACCTCCTAGCCTATGGGAGCGTAACATATAAACCCATTCTCTCACCATGTGCAAACTCATGGAAAGAGAATGGGTTTTCACCAACACAGTTCTAATTTGCTGTTGGACTAGACTGTCATTTATAAAATCAAGATACTATGTCCTCCAAATATGCTATGAGCATTCAGTGCTGGAACATTTCTACCTAATATTGTACCTGGAACATAGCAAGTTCTCAAAAATTGGTAGCAATATTGGAAATTTTTATTATAATTTATTCCTATCGACATTATTTATCACCTGGCCTAATCTACTTACCCACCATTTTCTCTCCTTATCACCCAAAATGGAACAAACGGTAAATATTTACAATTCCTTGGGCCCACTGCGTTCCCTTATACTTTGCCCATCTCACTCCCCTTCTCCTCCCCCAACCCGCTGAAAGCATTTTATCTTCCTGCTTTACCCCAGCAAGTGCTGATTCATCCCTCAAGATTTAACTTGTACCTTGATTCTGCATTTCTGGAGATCAACTGTGCTGCTCTTCTGAAAGATAACCAATAAATTTTCAAAGCACCCTTATCATAATGTGTTTTTTTTAAAAACATTTCCATCACCTCACATAATTACCCATTTTTTGTGGGGTGTTAACATTTAAGATCTAGTCTCTTAACTTTCATGTATGTAATACAGTATTGCTAATTATAATCACCCTGTTTTACATTAGATCCCCAGAGCTTATTCACCTTTCAACTGTAAGTTTGTACCCTTTGACCAACATCTCCCCATAGCACCCACACCTCAGCCCCCCTTCTACTCTCCATTTCTGTGAGTTCAACTTCTTTAGGTTCTAAAGATAAGTGAGAATATACACAATCAAGTAAGAACAGTATTTGTCTTCGACTTACTTCACTTAGTGTAATGCCACAATGTGTTATTTATTTAGCTGGCTATGTTCCCTCCAAGACCGAAAGCTCATGGGAAGCAGGAATTCTGTCTCATCTATCCTCCTATAGTGTCTGGCACATGGGAAATTATTCAATAAATGTCAGCAGAATGAGTAAACTTGAAACATGTACCAATTGCATTATCCACTAAAAACCTTATCCTTCTCACAGTATTTAACCATGTTATAGCACTTCACCATTGCACCGTTCATACTACTTTTAAAAAATCGCTATCTGTTGAAAGACTTGTTCTGTGCCACATACCATGTTTGGGGTTTTAGATTCCTTATCTGTGATGTTAGTTTTGTGTTCCCCTCATTAGATTGTAAAAATATTTGAGAGCAGGGGCTGTTTCATTCATCTCTGTAACCACATCACTGAGGAAAAAATTTAGGAAGAATATGGTTGAACAGCAGGTCTGCCATTCAATATCTCCCTTTACCAAGAGAACACCTCTCAGAAATAAATGAGGTGGCCCAGTCCAATCTCCAGCTAATGGAGATAATGACAGACTTCCTTGCAAGTAAGTTAATGGCACTGACTAGTGAGAGAGTCCTTATCTGTGAAATGTGGACTGTCTAACACTGCCTATGGTAAATGACCCGGGATGTTAAGGTTAGTGGGGCATAGTCTATTGAAAAAAGTGGTGTTATTATCTGAACATAAAATGGAGATTTTTATGATCAAAATACTCCTTTGTACAAGTAATGAGAATGGCACACATCACTTAGAGACCTCCTGTGTGAAACTGGGCAGCATGTATGCTCTGAGGCAGCAAGAAAGGACGTGGGAACTTCACCGGAAGTCAAGTACTTCTCCCTCAGGTAATCACAAGGCACAGGAAGCAGGAAGAAGTCCCCAAGCTCCAGTGAAGTTCCCACGTCCTTTCTTGCTGCATGAGAGCATGCAAGGGGCCCAGTTTTACACAGGGCTTCACCTTACATGTACCCTTAAAATTATTAGTCAAAAGAAAGAAGTCCTGAAACATGCTACAATGTGGATAAGCCTTGAAAAAGTCATGCTAATTGAAAACAGTGGAACACAAAAGTCCATATATTGTGTGGTTATTGTACAATTCCACTTATATGATATGTCCAGAATATTTTAATCCACAGAGACAGGAAGTAGATTAATGGTTGCCCGGGGTGGGGAATGGGGAGGGGGATAGGGAGTGATGCTAACAAGTAAAAAGTTTCTTTCTGTGGAGCTGAAAATGTTCTGCAATTAGTGTTGATAGTTGCACAACTCTGCAAACGTATTAAAAACCACGTAATTGTACACTTCAAAGAGTAAATTGCATGGTATGTGAATTATCTCTCAATAAAGCTGCTGTTTTCTCTTTCAAGAAGTAAATATATACAAATGTTAAAGAAAATTATTAGTCAAGATACATTTGGGTCCGATCTGTGATTCACAGGATTCTGTTTTTAACAATTCAACCCACTATATTATCTCAACCTCCAATAGATATTTCCTAGAAGAACACATTTTTATGCCTATTTAGCATACCGGGCGGAAATTCTGAGGGAGATCTCACTGGATATATCCAACCAACATTCACAGGCTGATACACTGTTTCTTCCTGGGACTCATAACCACTGAAAACAGTGAAGAAGTTCGGTTGTATACCCTCCGATGGAGGTAACAAGTCCACTTAGGAGTCCATTAACATAATCACAGATGATTATCAAGTGGGCCACCTAATACACGCTACCTCTGGACCTTAGAGCTATAACAGACCTACAGAGTTAGTTTGTATTTTGAAGTCTAATTCAGCTCTATAATCACTAGCCCACCGAGATGGCCGAGACATTTTCTGCATCAGAGTAAAGAAATCACAATATTAAAATCAATTTGGTCTCCTGTTGTTAACCGAGGGTCTGTTTCTTTAGTCCCACAGAGATGAGGCAAGAATGGAGCGCTCTTTGAAGCTAACAAAAGCTTAAGGTCAGATCATCTCCATGGGATACAAAGCAAACCCAGGGAGAAGTAACAGCCGAATGATATTTCAAGCGTTCTATCAGAAGGGGTACTGCTATAATGCACAGCATTCAGGCACGACTGGATACAGTTTTGTTCTCTCTTCAGTGTCTGAAGTATTGTAGGATTTTAAAATATATGATGTTCTATCTCCCATTGATTAAAAATAGCACTACTTAAGAACTGTTATTATTACACTGGTTCATACCATATTGAAAGGCATTTTGTAAGTATGAAATCAACGTCACCCACAATCCCCGAAGTACAATATGCCTCCTAATAATGCCAAAATGTTCTACTTGCCAACGGAGAGCAAATGCAAAGATGATGATGAAGATAACAATAATATCACTTTAATTTTCTTACAACAAAGGACACCTTTTTGATCTCTTGTCTTCCCCGTGTCAATCTCTGGTCCTTTTCTCTCATTATCTTTGGCTCTCGCCCTCATATTTATCTCCCCATCCTCTAACCATGTCTCTGTTCTAGTCCTTTTGCTTGGTACCTCTCCCATCTATGCCCCTCTCACTAACTTCAGAATTCCCAACACCTCTTTCTGTCCTTCCCAATGCACATATTCTCCTCTCCACACTTGCTATCGTTCACCCTGTCCCCCCGACTTCACTATGCACTTTAAGTGCCGTCATTATATGCGTATATATTTCAACAAACCTAAAAAAAATCATATGTACATTGCTTTAACTATTCTGCTCTGATTTAAGTCTATATTTCCCCCCTTACAGTGCTTTTGTCATGATATGATGAACAGCTATTATGTGTCTATAATCCTACCTTTTTTAAAAAAATAACTTCCCACGCATTTTGTCCCAGGTGTGGCCTCATGGTCTAAGGTGGGGCATCCACAACCCCTGACTTCTCCAGGTCACTGTGATATATGAATGTGTGGCCCAAGTGTAAGTAATGAAAACGATACCCTGAGAATTCCCAAAGCCTCTTTTCCCCTGTGGTCATGAATTTATGAAAGCATGGATCAAAAACTGCCAGTGACCATGGTTCTAAATTCATGGATAAGTCAATTTAAAGAAAAAGTGAAACGTACACACAGATAGAAGGAGAGACAGATATGAGAGGTGAAAGCATCTGAGTCCTCATATCAGTATCTGTAAGGCCAGATCCATCCATATTTTCACAGTTTTCTTATATGAAATAATAAATTCCATATTTGACATTAACTAATGTGAGCTCAGTTTTCATCACTTGCAATTTATCTGTAAAAATATAAAAATCTATATATTGGAGTACAGATCTGAACTCGATGACAGGCAGGTGTAGTTTTCAGTTTGGAGAAAAACCAAAACATTTATCAAGTAAGGAATTCAGTGTATAATGGGTTGCTAAAATAGAAATTTCAGCTGAGACACCAAGACACTCAAGAAATACCTTCCAAAGAATATGATGGATAAATCATAGCATTCACCAAGAAGGGTCCTAACCTCCTCACCACGTCAAAGACGTAAAAAGATGGTGAGCTGGATGAAAATTAGACGAGTATTTCTTTAGAGGGACTTGTGCAGTGATTCCAACTCCCATCCTCCCCCAGGTAGGAGGCGTGCTATGGGTCCATCTTCTAAACTCAAACCAAATGAGGGAGAGTTAAGAGTTGGCAGATGATTGTACAAATCTACGTATGGTCACCTAAGCCTGGAACAAGGGAACAGAGCATACCTCTTCACTAGACAAGCAGTCTGCCATTCGGTAAAGAGCAAATAGTAAAGGAAGTGCAAAAGAAAAGCCACTGCCATTGCTTTGCTTCCTGGGCCCTTTTCATGTGCTTAGCAAATTGCGTTTCACTTGATAATACTTCCAAATTCAACTGCATTACCTAGAGGTAGAGAACTGATTTTTTCATTCTCTTAGAATAGGGCTAACATTTTCCTTTATGTTTTTAAGGACTCTGGTAGAGATGGATGATTCAGAACAGAAAAAAGCCTTCCTTTTTAAGGGGAGCAGAACTTACCAGGCCCAAATATGCCTCTTTGGCATACGGATCATTTTAGGCTGATTATTTTAAGAAACAGCAAACACAGGATAAGTTCTAAAAAGTGAGTAGAAGTTACTCTTCTGTGAGAGACAGTTACACTATTTTCATTTATGAGGGTAATCTCCCCATTTCTAAGGGTGTCTCCCTCTCTGTACCAGGAAGAGAAGAATGACTGTAAAACTCTAGAAACTCCTATTCATGGAGAAAACAATGACTTACATGGATATGATACCCTTGTTCACTGTGCTTTTTCCTCATAAACTCACTTAACTGGACTCCTCTCCTATCACTAAATATCTTCCTTTTATCTTTGCTGAAGATGGTTTAAGGTTATCACTTGGGCCATTTTGGAGAGTTACTCAGTTTTCCTGGATATCTTCCATATATACAGGAGATATACATGTTATTAAACTTTTTTTCTTTTCCCACATGTTGATTTTTCTTTTTTTTTTTTTTTTATTACAGGGGGGTCTCAGCCAAGAAACTAGAAGGAAAAATCATTTCCCCCCTCACACACTTCCAAAGAACCAAACGTGGTAATTCTGCATCCATGACCCCTCTCTTCTCATGACTTAATGCTACTTTTTAATATATTTTTTGTTGGTGGTATTATTTTTAAGACTTACACATGTAAGTCCCATGCAGTGCTTTTGCCCATTAGTCAAAAGGCAAGTAATGTTCAAGCAGCTGTTCCTTTTGTGGCTCTGGGGCACTAATAACTCTTGCAATCGAACACTGTGTGCTCTTTGACTTCTTCCCTAGCTTCTTTGAAATGGTAACCATTCATGGAAGGACGGTGATTCTGTATGGACCTTTAGCTCCTTATCACTCTTATGGGCCCTCTCAAGAAATGTGAAATCCAGCTCTCTCTCTAAACCCTTGGGATCTCCAAACTGTTGGGATGCGGATTAGAAGGAAAAGTGTGCTTACAAACAGAAATGACTTGGTGGAATCATATTTATGGCTATAACACCCAAAAAAGAAAGTGTTAAAAACAAACAAACACAGGCCCAACATGGAGTCACTTATGCTAGGCCACGCTACCTAACTAGAGCTTAATACCTAACCTAACTGAAGCTGAGACCTCCCCCAAAAATGTAGTCCTAACTGGTCAATCAAGAACTTTCTGGTTAGCATCAGTGAGGTAATCTGTCATAGGACCATCTCCAACCCCCAAAGGAAGGTGACAAAATCTGCCACACAGACTGCTTCCCCTATAGGTAGGTTGCCTGAGCCTGAAATCATCTTTTTTGTTTATGACTTCCTTGTCTTGCTTTTAAAATCCTTTCCCTTTCTGTAGCATGGAGCTCCTCTCTACTCACTAGATGGGATGCTGCCTGATTCATGAGTCTTTCATTAAAGCCAATTAGATCTTTAAAATTTACTCAGTTGAAT